TAAGTTTATTCAGAAACGATGACGATAACGAGTAATTATTCGACGTGAATTTAATTGGCTAGTTTATAAAACTGAATAACATACTGCTGCTTTAAAAATTCGATTTATCTTGGGCTGTTAGTCGGATAATTTCTTTTCATAAATCGTATGTGTCACTGGTCAAATAAAAATATGGTGTTCATGATTTTAACGTGAATGAAGTGTTTAACACTACAAGTACCAGGTGGGTCAAAATGACCCATTCCTAATTTCTTCTTTTACGATTATTACAAAGGAACAAACGCTTCTTAAAAGAAATAAGTACAGTATCTGATTTAGTAATACCTAAACTGAAATATAAATCAATTGAAATTTTAATAAATTCACGCTTTTAGCATTTATAGAGAAATTTTAAAAAGGCGGTTTAAATGCTTGGTAATTCTAGTGTTAAGTAAATAAATGTTACACTGAAGATAGTATTTTTTCTTTTAATAATATAGCAGTATTTAATTATGAGTGAAAATGAAAGTGATAATTATAATGTATGTATGTTAACGATCATAAAAATTCCAGTAACAAAATGTGTACCAAATTTTAAACTGTGGTGTAAATATATAATATTTTTTCGAGATTTTAAGTAATTAATAATTATGATTTCTAAGAATTTGAAATAAGTAGTATATTTGAATTATATTAATATTTATTTGGTTTTCCAACTACTGAGCTATTTCTTGAATAATATCTATTTTTTTTTATCTCTTTATCGATAACAATTAATAATAAAATCTTATTTATTCTATGTTGTTTATTACTATCAGAATTTACAATTGAAATTAAATTTAAGAATTCTTCATTGTTTATCATTCTTTAATTATTATTCATTGATCTTTTACCGTCTACAGCGGAAGTTATTAGGGTGTCCCAGAAAATACTGCGCAGCTTCCGTCACTTCATTTCCTGTTGTTTCATTGTTATAACGGAGGAACAATATTGCTTGCAGAACGATGACAACGGACGATAGATCGTGATAGAAGAGGCCGTGACAATTGAAATTATTTTTTGTTCCTCTCGCAATTCATTGTCAGTAAATTGAAGTTTTTAAAAATGTGTAACGTTTTTTGGAACGCTCTAATATTACTATTTTAAATCTAATATTTCCTCCTCACAGGTAATATAGGTATTATTATCGATAATAAACATTATATTGCCTCAGAAATTCATGAGGATTCTTTAATTGATATATCCCACTTAAGTATACTTACATTACAAAATAAGAAATAATAAATCGTTCATAACATTACAATCTTATTGAATCTGCCACTAATTATTATCAATAACATTTGAAAAATAAATCCAGTACTTTTCCTCTAATATTGTTAAACTACTTAGCAACTACCTACGCAACAGGAACAAAATAAAAAAGATGTCGTAACCAATCTTTTAAGCGTTAAATAAAACTGCTAATTAACTTTACAACTCTCTTTCTTGTTTCATACTTCATGCGACCCAAAACGTTGTCAACAAAAAAGCTTGTATCCCATTCAGCATTTTCAAACATTTGTCCGTTATCATTTTTTTTAGTAGGTAACGTTAACAATCGACATCAGTATACAATAAAAAGTAATAACTTTAATCAAATGGAAGTACAAATTAAATAAAATAAAATAAAATAGAATAAAGTAAACGAAACTAAATTAAATTAAAACAAAATGGTATAAAATAAACGAAACTAAATTAAACTAAAAGGAAATATAATAAAATTAACGAAACTAAATTAAACTCAAATAAAATAGAATAGAATAAACGATACTAAACTAAAATAGAAATGAAGTACGTAAAACCAATATATACTAATAAATCACGATAACTCAGAAGTTAGTCCAGTTAGATGAATCGCACCCAATATATGACAATATTATTGCACAAGAGTGTCATTCAAGGAATCTCGAAGCGGGATGATCAAACAGACTCGCGAAAACGTTCGATACGCGATACCGCGGATAAAAAGACGCTTCTCTTCTGAAAAGAAGAGAATCGGGAGAAAGAGAAAGAGAGAAAGAGAGGAGGAGAGACGAGTGCACCTAAAGCAGGTCGGTCTTCTTACCTTCTTTAGTACTGAATCGGTTGACATCGACTTCGTTCACCCTGAGTATGACGTCACCGGCCTCGACCTGCAAAACCAACAGACACCGTTTCTATGAAAACGCATTCTGCAGAAGGATCAATTGGTCGGGGATGGCGAATTGCCGCGGAGAGACTGTTTGTTCTCCGCTCCAGGCGACTCGACCGCGTAATAACACTTGGGTACACGTACGCAAATGATTCGGGCCATGACCGTTTCAGTTCTCCCACTCCATGTTTATCGGTTAACATTTTCGAACAATACAATTCGAGATCATTGATCCGGTGGTTAACAGGTTAATCGCCACGAAAATCTTGACCATTTTTTCCTTTAGAGTTATTCTTTCGTAGCAAAGAAAAGTGGGAACAATTATTAATTATTTGGTGTTACTATCCCTGCAATGCACTATTATCAGCTTAGTTATGTCATTAAATATTTTCATTGTACATAGGTTATCTTGCATGTTACGATTGTTTTCAAGTAATTCAGAAGCGGTCACTGACATGGCGCTAATCGTATTAACCCTTTGCGCTGGAGAAGTATCGGTATATTAATATTTTATTTATCGGAAGCTATTACTTTTTACGAAAACCATATTGTCAACTACTAAAGGTCGCCACGATCAGGAACGGTAGATAAGGTGTTAAATATTCGAAAAGAAAGCAACATATCAATCTCTCGTTATTCGAATAATTTAATTATGTATTTACAGTATACCCTGTAATAAAACCTCCGTTGGAAATATAATTTTTCGCCAACTTGGTCGACAATATGGACCTTTTATTATATTACACTATAATTATTAGCCAAATCTTTATATCGTTTTGCGAGAAAAATTATAAATTGTGATGAAATTTTGAAGAAATAAGATTATTTAGAGGACTTTAATAGTCTAAAGTGTTAGAAGACTTTTGATTCACCCTTTATTTACGAAGAGAAAACTGTTCTTAATAGGATTGAAAATTAAATTAAACGTTTTTATGTTCGAGAATCACATTTAACCTTTAACTGATCGCGTAGAATGTTTACAATACACCCCGCATATATTTTAAACGATATTTATCTTATTGAAAACCAAATTATTGCTGTTAAGCTCGTGATCCTTAAACGCATACACATTAATCAAAGATTATTCCTTTATTACTTTTTAAATCCCCCTCTGGGTAGGGTGCTTTAAAATTACCCCTTTATTACGTCTAAATATACCCTTATGATTGGAGTGTTTTAAAATTACCCCTATATTACGTCTAGAAATTCTCTTTCGTATGGGGTGTTTTATAATTACGCTTTCATTACACTTAGAAGTACTTATTTAACAGGAATGTTTTAAAATTACCCACATATTACACCTAAAAACTCTCTCCTCAATAGGATGGTTGGAACCATATCCTTTGCCATTTTCAATAATTTTGCACTATAAAAGTCTTAATAATTACGTGTGAATTTTTTGAAAATGAAAAACTGATGAATGCATAAAAAAAATTTGATTTCATTAAACTGTATATAATTTATGACAATTAACCAGAAAATAAAATTTCTCTATAATAAAATAAAATGAAATACATTTTGTTCATTTATTGCTACGCTCAAGGCATAAAAGCGTTTTACAATATGCACAGAAATATTTTACCTTGAACAAGAAGATTTTTCATAAATGCATTGTATCTAGGACATCTTCATTTCTTGTCATCAGCACGTTTGTAACCGTGCCATTAGCATTTCGTATATAATATGTGCAAATCGGAACCTCTTTGTTAGGAAGCTTCACGATGCGTCAATACAAAAGTATTTATGAAAAGTTTCTGTGCATATCTTTCAAATCTATCGTAACCTCTGTGAGGTTAAAAATTCAAATATTTGAAATGTTCACCGTAAGATTCCACGATTCTAGGAATTTATAGCATAATAATTTACCTTAAAAGTACCATCTTCTTAGTTTCCTGAATTTTCTGTTATCTACAAATAAGGCAATGAAGCGTGGTCGTTTTACTTTTAAATAAAGTTAAATAAAACTGCGAGTGGTCCATAGATTGATATTATCACAAAGTGACATTAACATTTCATTGAACATTCAAATGCTTGTACCGATAATAGCTAGTTGTTATTCAAAGCCCATTCAAACACTTATTCATTTATGGAAAACGGTGTTTTTCGCAGATGTTCGTAGTCTGTGATGCACCGTTGCAATCTCCCGTTAATGAATCGTAAACATGTATGTTTAACCGTGCCCCATCTTCGTTTGAATACATAAATATTGTGTAATGTCAAAGGTCGCCGCAACGAAAGTGTATTATTATTAATAAAACCATCATGAGTACGACTCACAATCGGTCATTCAAAACGTCACAGGGGCGAGGGAAGTATTCAGTAAACAGTTACACGCTTTTATATTTAACTTGTTTGTACTATACATCATTTACATATTCAAATCTATTAATTCGTCGCTTCTTTGTTTCATTCTGCCTTTAATGATTCGTCGACTGAACCAATGACACGAGAAAACATTATTAAATTCCCTGCTTCTCTGAATGTTTGTCAATGGTCCCTTTTGATGTATTTCTAAAATGGCACTGCGTTAATTTAACAATAAAAGGTGGAATATTTGTATTTCTCACTGAAGAATGCGAGATAACGAAAAGTTCGTTAAATTTCTTAGATAATTAAGTTATACAAAAATCCTTAACGATAGTTATTAATAAATAAATAATTGATACGAACTGAAATAAGAACTAAAGAAAAAATATTTTTCTTTTCTTATAATATTATTTTTATCAGATTGCCTCGGAAAAGGAATGACAACAACAATTATTTCTAAGTTATTAGCTATTAATAAGAAAACCAATGGTTATTACAGAAATTAATAATCCAAGAATAAAGAATAGCTCAAATATTTATTACTTTGATCACTGAGTGACTATAAATTTGTATTCTAAGCTTAAACTTACTATTCCTAATGAAATGATATCTGAAACTATATAATCCCGTGAAATATAAGGAAGTTTCAAACTGAAGTCTTCGACAAATATCTGTTCATAGTTTTAGTTTCATTAAACACAGGATTTTACCCTATGGAAGTTTCATGGAAGATCGTGCATCATTTGGTGGATATGCGAATTCATCAATCAATTTTTTGGCAAGCATGAATTGGCAAATATGAACCGGACGTTCCCACGGCACGTTGTTCAACAGCGAATGATTTGCATTCGTTGAACAATGCGTCGTATGAATGGGGCTTTATGTCGTACTTTCCTGCTGAATAATTATAGAACAGTTACTTGTTCTGAAAAGTTTTAATTTGTCGGATACTAAACTTCACAAATATAATATCATTTAATAAAATTTCATATTGATTTTGATTGAAACAACTATACAAATAGGCATCCTAATTCTCGGTTTCTAAAGTTCTCATTTTAAACAAGACCTACACGAGTGGACACTTACTTTTCTAAGAACAATACGATAAAATGCACAATAAACGTCTGTGACCTAGTATTAACAAAAACCAACAAGAATGAGAATGTACTTTACTTGACGCCGATTTCAAGACAACTTGGACAAATTTGTACCGCTATATTTTAACCCTTCCTAATTGAGAGGTGACTCTCAGTCACCACTAGATTTAATGTAGCAAAATTATTGTCTTATATGTAACATTCTGATCTGTATAATGCATCGATATGTAAGATATTGAAATAAAATAGCTTTGTTTCTTAATTTATTTAAAGAATATCGTTTATATTTCATTGAAAGATGTTCCATATTTCTGTAGAAAAACTTTCGAGTGCAAAGAATTAAAATCTACTATAATCTTGAAATTGCACTACCAACAATTCACGTATGTATCACATCATAATTTACAGTTAAAAAAAAAAGAGAATTCATTTAACAAAACTCTATTATAATATCTGCAGTAGCATTGCGATTTTATCTTCGATTGGATTTCTTAAAAGAAGCACTTCAAGTTTCTTGAAACTTCGAATCTAACTTACTTATTTGAAAGCCGTCTCAAAAGGATTAAAGAAAACTAGTATAAAGAGCAGGAAGAAAGAAAGAAAATAAGAACCGTGCTAACGTCTTATTGCCAATAAGAACCGTCATTCCAGAATCCACGAGGAAAAATATGACGGTAATGATCGTTGCCGGGAATACGTGCTTTTATTCGCAGTTTAATAGTTACTCGATATTAACAACATTCCGCGAGTAGGGCTCCGAATCGATGGGGAAAATAAGGAAGCCTCGCGAGCGTATTTCAATCGCCGCCCGGTGAAATATGACTCGTTCCGTGTAAGTTCCAGCCAGTTACTTAGCAGCCTCGATGCACGGCAACTTCCACCGGAAAACTATTCTCCGTATTTCTTCCATTCCTATTCCAAGCGATTTTCTGCCTTTCCTTCCGCCTCCAGGGAAATGGCTCGACTGGAAAACGAAATTGTTTACGAGCCGCTATCCGTCACGGGGATAGATAAGACCCGTGAACCGGCTGGAGCGCCTGGAATGTCTGTTGGTACAACTAAATCCGATTGCTGCCCTCGGAAAGAACGAAGAAACGGACGTTGCCTGATGCGGGTGAAACGATGTCCCACGTAAGTTTTCTAATTCAACGACTTTCTCCCTCTTTGTCTACGGTGGATCTTATTTCTATTGTTCTTCCGGTAGATGGCGTGGTGGATTTCTGGTATTGAGTATAGAAAAGGGAAGAAATGTTGGCACTGGGCGTGATTATTGAGTAAATATTAATGTTTGTCAGTATAATTTTGGGTTTTACTTGGTTTAGAAGATACTAGTATGTTATGTGTGAGAGTATATAGTTTTATACTTTAGAAGGAATTAAGTTCATTTTAAAATCTTCTTCAGAATGTTATGTATGAATAAACTATACGGTACAATCTCCTTCAGTAAGAGTTTCCTAATAAATTTTGTTATAAATTTTTTTTTATATATTCAATAAATTTCAAATTTTCATTGGTCATTTCGACAAATCAGTATGTTTCTATTGACTGTATGAGGTATATATGTGTTTATGAAGAACATTAATCATTATTGATCAGC